GCTCACTGGCTTCGGGTTCCGTAGGAACTCCGAAGTTAAGCGAGAAGGGGGCTAGAGCACTCCCAGGATGGGTGACCCACTGGGAAGTTGCTCGTGAGTTCCCAGAAACAAAACCGTGAGGGCGTGGTCGGGGCCCAAAGCGGACAATATCGTGCTACGGTGGTGGAGTCGGGCCCGGGAAGTGATTCGCCCCGGGCCGGGATGTGACAATTGTCCTGCATGTGATGTAAAATAAGACGGCAATTTATAGAATATTTATTTTCCAGTATACAAATCTATAGTTTTCTCTCGATAACGTGTCTTTTTAGGTCTATTTTTGCGTCCGGTTTCTCTCCTAGTTCATCCTCTTCTAACATAATTATCATATTATGATAAAATTATCCTAATAATTAGGACACGGTGACACGGTGTTAGCTACATCTTCTTACGAAGTGCTACCATACTAATTAATTAGTTAAGATATAATGTGACTTATTTAAGGAATTAATTAGAAGAAAAACAAGTGTTTGCAAGCATCTTATCATTTGGGTCCTCTTTTGGATGGGCATCACATGAAAATTCATATAATATAATTAGTATTACAACACATAAACATATAAATATACCTTGACACGGCATTTGGCTTATTACTCATGTTCCCTAAAATATCAAATCCAATATATTTTGGCAAACCACAAGTTAAAAGAAATATTAAAGTAGTTAAGACAGGCTTGAGGTATCCAAAAGAATTCTTAAGGAATAAAAGTATTAGGTGGTCGGTGTATTTTTGCTCGCCACTCTCAAATGGTGGTAAGAATTATCGCATTACTTATCATCGTTAGGTGAATTTAAATTTTGAGATTTGTGTTTATCCCCTACACATATCTTAAATTTTAAACTCATCTAACGGTGGTAAATAAGATGGTCATCATTATTACTTGAGGGTAGTGAGGAAAAATATAATAACACCTATCATCGACTTATTAAAACACATAAAACAATACACCACGTGACTTGTATTTCACTGCTTTCACCACTTAAACATGAATCGTACGACTTATTAATTTTTATTTTTTTTCTTTTGTACGACTTGTGAATTGAGAGCCATGTTCTGCAAATTTTAATATATACTATTTCTAAGATTTATATAATGGAAAATAGATAAAAAAAAGATGTTGTCACGCCAAGCTGTTGGATCGCAATGTGAATGCTAAAAATTGGCGTGCATGATTGTCGGAGATTAATGTAGAGATAAAGAACCATAATTCTTGATTAATTAACATTAAGATTCTCCATGAACATGTGGAAGTACGAGAACATATTATCCATTTTTCTTTACGTTTAAAGAACACAATCTTATTTGTGATTACTGTATTAGCATTTACAGATGGATAATTTCAAATGAAATTCCAACCATTGAACAAATATAAGAAATAAACGTACAGTAAGAATTTCCCGAAAGAAAAATGAATTTGCAGAAAACTTGGAAATTAGTTTGAGATATATGGAGAAGAGAGAGACTTACATGCACGAATCGCAATAACAGTATATGATATTAATAATACAATAAGAATTGATATGTGTAAGTTAAAACACATTGCACGATATCATTAGCTATGAGCTTTATGACAGTGTCCTAAAAAATGTAAATAGTCCATAACTTAGAAATGCTAATGAGACTCTTTTAAAGTATGACTCTTCATAGACGCACTACACCTCACAGTTAATGTCAGTTCCCGTGCCAACATGATAAAACATTGTGCAAAAAATATGAGATGATAAAAAGTCCGTAAAAAGTCTCACTTTTGAGAGAAACTTCTTAGCATTTCTCTAACTTATATGACAAGTATAAACAACTATCATGATATTACATTTCAATTATTCGATATTATGTATAAATTTCCTACTCATTGAATTGTATAATTAACATGAAGTTGTTGGAGAATAGGTCGGTTGTATTACAAAATAATATACAACTAATACATAGAGTTTTCATCCTTAATATCACTGAGAGTTTTGTATAAAACCCAACATCCAATAATATGTAGTTAAGTTGAAAGAACATTACTAATGTTGTGTTGGTAGTAAACCTAGACCTACAAAGTATATTCGAAATGTTATAAGGGAGGTATACAACGTAGGTTATGATATCCACACACTCCTTTATACATTTCACACATTCTTTTTAAATTTTTATTTTTTAATCTTCTTCAATTCATTCGACCTAACAATTAAAAATTATAAAAATGTAAAAATAAAAAGAAGTGTGCGAATAACATTCCTTCACGAAATGCATCCGCACACCCCTACAATATACTCATATAAGTTAACACAGACATGATGGGGTTACATCGGGAAGTGGAATGCGACGGCCCACACCACATACAAGTCCCGCGTTTCCCGGCACAGATGAAATTAAAGCCAAATCAGTGACTGAACTCGTGAGGAGGGAATGGAGCGGCACGTGACATTTCCTCCGTTACCACCAACATCCTCTCTCTCTCTCTCTCAACGGAACCGGGTTCCCTTTAGTGTTTTCTAGTGGAAATTCTTCTTTAAAAGTTAGAGCGATCCAGACCGTTGAAATTTGATTCGACGATTATAATTATTATAAATTTTAGAAAGTTCTTTTGCTTGTGGCTGTTGAATCAAGTTTTAACAGTTCGAATCGTTTGCTCAGCATACTCAATTTTATTGAATCCAAAAGGGATCCGACTCCTCTCGAAACCTCGTGAGCTCTGACTGAGTAGCAGTAATAATAATATATGATTCGATAAATAATGGGGATTAGTGCCAGTAACCATCACTCAAGTGTGCATTAAATCCCGAGATAACGGAGGTCAACATTCTACTGTTCCCATGTCAACGCTTAATTAGTTTACCCCACCACGTGACTCTCCTTTATTTTCTTTGGCCATTTTTTGGCTTCTGTCCGTCCTGTGTAACTTGCATTGCCTTCCTTTCTGCGCGTCCTGGCAGGACTCCTGCTGCTTTGCTTCCACAAGTTATGTCTGCTTCGGCGATCCAAACTCCCAAAAACCGCAGGGAGACAGAGTGTCCTTTCTCTGTGGCCTTTGCCCCCTCAATGCACGTGCATTCATTTAACCCTAACCCTACTTCCAGTAACCCACTGTTTCATACAGTCAAAATCTTATTTCAAAAATGAACTTTCGTGAAATCTCTGTTACTTCATGTTTTTAGCATTATATTTTATAACATCAGTATGAAAATTGACGATAAATTATGAGATGGTGGAAAGTCTTATTTTGAGAGAGTCTCTGTAGCATGTTTCTTTAGAAAATAGGTAGGTTAACTTTCAATTGTTAATAATAACTAAGTAGCTAAAATAGTTTTTTGACGCTGTTTACTTGCTAATTTAACAAAAATTTAGAGTTTCTCTTAGAGATGCTTTAAAAATATTTGTGGATCTACTTATCTAATGAATTTAGATGAATATTTAAAGATAAATATATTTTCTAAAAAAAGTACGATATTTACTGATTAAGAAGGAATTCGCATTAGATTCAATCGAAAAAATAAGAGTGCCGCAACATAGAGTACATTAATCAATGATGAGCTTGCATATGGGCATATCATCTCCACGATGTTGCATGACCACTAGCGTAAGAGGAGAATCACATTTCCAACAACGCCAACTATAGTTCTTGGCATATTTGGACCGCCACTCTTGCATCGGGCACGTTGTCGTATTTTTTTTCGCTTTTATGATTTCTATAGATCACCTAGTGCTTAGTTTAGTTGTATTACTATTCACTTAAAAGTGGAAAATCTTCACCTTCCCTTAATGTATATAATATCGCTGTATTGAAACAAACAATAATACTTTAGTGTAACCTGCAAGTACCATTACTTTAGTGTAACCTGCAAGTACAATTACAAGTACGGTTACAATTACAAATCAAACTTGTATTGAAACAAACAATGATACTTCTGTTTTCCATGCACTCACCATTTAATCCTAATTCATAATTTCACGCCAGTCGAAGAGAACATCCCAAATCACAAAAATAGATCAAGTAGTTAGAGTAATGCAAACTTCAATTAAGGTAATGTATTTACTAGTTAACATATATTAAGATGGAATCGGTAACTTTAAGTATTTATTGATCTCACTATAACCTTATAATTAGTATGAATTTTAAAATTTACTTCAAATTTAAATTATTACTTTCTAGCATCAAATTTTCACTCATAACGTCTGAAATCTTAAAGACGGTTCTTTTCTAATATAAAAAAAAAAATCCATAACTAAAAAGAGAAGAAAGAAAAAGCCTTTGTTCTTTTTTTCTGAAAACAAAATTAGAGTCATTATCTGTATGTGAATAGATTTTTCAATGTGACCGGAACGCGGAGTGGTACATCACGTGTTATTATGAAAATAGTGAAATATGTGTGTTAAAAAATTAATAACTTGAAAAGTAAAATTTCTCACTACTTATATAAAAACACATGATGTACTATTCGTGTTCCGGTCACAATAAAAAATTTCACTTGTATGTGGACAAACGGACAGAACACATGAAAAGACTATTACTCGGGATTGCCATATCATAAAAAGAATAAACAAAAATCGGGATTGCCGAAAATATAAAAAACCTCCAACCCAAAAAGTAAATAATTGAGTTCCGTGAACCCAAATTAAAAAAAAAAAAAAAAAACTTTAACAAAAAACCTTCATGTGATTTATTTTAACAAAAAAATTATATTTTTATACTAAAAAATTAATCTTGATGCTATTTATTTTATCCTTATTGTTAAAACTCAAAGTTTTCAAAATATTTTCATTAGTTTTTCCAAAAAATTCCCTTACCCCCGTTATACTAAACCGGAGTGCACTCCAAACAGTACCCTTTAAGACTTTAACCCTCCGTTTCACTCACTTAACGCCGTCAACCCTGCCGCAACCCTGCCGCAACGTCGTTATCCCCACCGCGGCTTTCACCTAACGGAAAAAACCCAAAACAAACATTAAAAAAATGCAGAACGCAAGGGAACGCAGACTTATAAAAGATCTCCAGCCAAAGAGCTCACAAGCTCGCCAAGAGAGAGAAACAGAGTTTTAGAGAGAGAGAGAGAGAGAGAGAGTCCGACTATCGGCGCACAGTTCGTCATCGGAAATTCGGAAAAAGGAGACGAAGGTGATGTGAATTTCCGAAAGGGTGAGATTTTTAAGCTCGAAAAATATCGGAGCCGATTTTTCTCCCTCTTTTTGTTGTCATGCATTTCTGTTCCATCTGAATTGAAAGCACTTTTCTGCAGTGAAATTCCGACTGTGGAGCTGAATCTTCACGTGAACTGCTGCAATAATTCACAGTTTTCAAATCGCCGAGACTGCAGGTCCGAATTTTCTCCGGTTTATAGATTTGAATTCTATTCGGATCTTATCGGTTTGTGATTTTCAAGCTCTTGATTTTTTAATAAATTCTTTTGCTTTACTGAAAGACTGATAATCTAAAATAATCTGATCAACGAACGCAAAATTCGAGATTGGAATTTTCTTGATATGTATGGGGAAAATTAAAAATTGACGATTTCGTGCCGAAAATTTAAGAGTTGCAGGCGAAGCGAAGCAATTGGTATCGAAAAGCATTGGGAGAATTCGAATCAAAGCTTGGGTTTTGTGTTTCCTCTCGTCTTCTGAAAGCGAAAGCGAATGTGCCTTCGAACATCCAAGGCTCCCCGCGAATCTGTGAAGCTGAAGCAGTCGAAAGAATTTGAAAACGGAAGCAGAAAGCACTGAAGTTCCTTTAAAATTACGAAATTTTCCGGGAAAATAATATCTAAGCCGGCGGCCTGTGCGGATATGGAGCTTCCTCAGCCCCGGCCGTTCGGAACGGAAGGTATTTCATTGTTCGAAAAGAATTATAAGGATTTTTTGACATTTTAGCCAAAATATTCGCAAAATTTGTTCTAATTCTTCACTTTGCTCCGATATTTAAAGTAATTCTTCAGATTATCCATCGTCAATCATTTTAGTCTTTATGTAATTTTTTTTCGTAAATTGCGAGTATTTTAATGAAATCAACTCATCTGCTTGAAATGGTAGTTTCTCCAATCTAACGAAGATTTTCAGAGAAAAAGCAAAATGATCGATGATGATGGATAATTACATGGCCAATCCTATTGATTTTAAATCTGACGACCAAAGTGGAGCTATGACATTCTCAAATAACATTTTGACAAATGTGTTTTAGGAAATGGGAAGGGAATTAAATGTGTTTTATTTCTTAACCTTGATTTCAAAGTTTTTCTACAGGAAGAAAATCGACGCATGATTTTCTGTCACTCTACAGTCATTCAGCTGCCCAGCAAGATCCAAGATCACCCGCACAAGGTATCCTTCCTTTTTTCTTTTTTCTTCTAATTATTTTTAAAAATATTTAAACAATTATAATTCTTCGTTTATACCGCGAGAGAAATTTTGGTACAACAAGATTCTATTGTAACGCATCTTAAGCTAGTTATTTACGTTAGAGTTCGTGGTAGATTCGCAATGCGTCACATTCACATGTTTGTAACATAACGATCTTTATTCTCTTCACGATGATTTTTATATTTAGAATTTTTGTTATGATGTGCAAATTAAGTGGTGGATAACTAATTATTTATTATCTCGTGCCTTAATCTTCTCACGTATTTACAAATGATTAGAGATACCGTCACATTAACAGTTTTTAAAAAATAAAGTTCTTTCTTCTCCTCTTAAAGATTGTTTTCTATTTTTTTAAAAAGTTTTTTTTTTTCCTTCTTCTTCTGATTATTTGCATGTGTGAATTGATATGCAAGAGAAAATATGTATTTTGCTTGTTTTGTTAGACAAATATAAACTCTGTCTCTGTAAATTTATCTTACATCAATCTCTAATCCGAATAATCGAGAAAAGAAAGAGAGTCAAGAATCTACAGCCGATACTTTGTTTTTCACGTCGAATCCGTAAGACATAATTTAGACAAATATAAGGGTCAGGATTATGCATGCACGTGAGCGCAAGTGAATCGTGGATCTGGTTGTTATCAATGTGGGCCATCTATGTTGTAGGCCAGCCTTGAAACAGTTAAAATTGGCTGCCAATGCGAAAAAGGAAACGGCAACCCTTTACCACACCTGATGGGGCCCACCCATGGAAGTTAGACTTGATTGGACACTTAACGTGTCGCATATCACGCCTGATGCAGGTGCACGGTATGAAGCGTGGGCTGTGAAGTTGATGATCCATGTTTTTTAGGGTTATTTTTGTTTAATTATATAAAACTTTGTCATATTAATTAAATTTTGTGTAACATGTTTTCTTCAAAATCTTGGATCTGAAATATGAATCCGAAAAACTGGATCGTGAGGACTGAATCCGGAATGTTTCGGTTTTTTAATTATGTTTCGAGCTATATTCTATTATAATATATACTAATTTACGAAAACCAGAATTCGAATTTAGGTGGAGAGCGTTACAAACTACCTAGGCAACATGCGTCCCTGAGTTTCCCGAGAAACTTTACCTTACCAATTTCCTGCCTCCGCTCAACACCTTAACTTTTGTTTATGTGATTTCAGGAGGCTACCTTGAAACACACGATTTCCTACAACCACTTGAACGAATGGGAAAGCCATGCATTGCTAAGGAAGAGACCTCAGCTGAGATATCAACCACTGAAAAACCACCGTCTCATGCGGCGGCGCAGCCGACTACTTCTGTGGAGCACATTCTTCCCGGTGGGATTGGGACTTACAGTATAAGCCACATTTCGTATATTAATCAAAGGGTTCCGAAACCAGAGGGATCGCCGGTGTTTACAGTTGCACAAGCAAGTAGTAGCGAGAAAAACGTTGACGAAAACTCGAACTGTAGCTCTTACGCCGGAAGTGGATTCACTTTGTGGGAAGAATCTGCAAAGAATAAGGGAAAGACAGGGAAGGAGAATGTTGTGGGAGAAAGACCCGCGGGTACCGTGAGAGGTAATTAAACTTAATTTGTGTTTTTGCATCCATGTGGTGCATAATTTGTGTGCCTTAAATTTCAATGCAATGAGAAGAAACAAAAGATGGAAATGAAACTCATGGCAGCTACTGGGATTTTGACAGGGCAATGGACCTCTTTGGAGCGGCCTGCGCAGTCATCTTCCAACAATCATCGCGGCTGCTTCAGTTCTCAGTCCGTCCCTAGCCATCTCAAACTCTACTATTGTCGGTGTTATTGGGTTCGATATCATATATGCAGTTTTTGATACATATATGGAATGTCAATAGGTCATCTGGGCAGAAGAACATGAGCTTCAGGGAGATGATGAAGTCTGCCGCCAAGGATAGTACCCAGGAAGACGAACTAGACGATCAAGAAGAGTTTGTTCTAAAAAAAGAGACCTCTACCGCTACCACGAACGCCGCCACCCCCTATAAGGGTATGTCTCGTAGTTAGATGGATAAAATTCGTTTGAAATTCTTTACCCTATTATTCTCCTACTTTTTTTTTTTTATCTTCACCAAGGAGTTTGTGTGTTTCTGAAGGCGATTTGAGGGTAAAAGCTGATGTTAAGAGCTCTGATCAGAAGGCTAACACGCCACGATCCAAACATTCTGCCACAGAGCAGCGAAGGAGGAGCAAAATAAATGACAGGCAAGTTCATCTTCGATTTCACATGATAAAAATTTAATGATAGCTCCTTGGCGGTTTTGACAACATAATCGTAGATTGACCCTTGAAAGTTGTATGTGCAGATTCCAAATGTTGAGAGAGCTCATTCCTCACAGTGATCAAAAGAGAGATAAGGCGTCGTTTTTACTAGAGGTACGCACAATTATTAACTGTTGTAAGTTATTCCTTTCTTTTCGAATTTTTGAATGACCGGGTTTTAATCTTTTCGCTTCCCAGGTTGTCGAATACATTCAGTTTTTACAGGAACGAGTAAGCAAGTACGAGGGTTCATGTCAAGGATGGAATCCTGATCCAGCAAAATTGATGCCTTGGGTAAGAAGTCAGGCCTTTATCCTTTGTGGCATGTATGCTGTTCATACCGCGACGTATATATTAGTAGACTCATTAATCTTTTTCTCGAAACAGAGAAACAATCACAAGCTTAGGGAAAGTTACTGTGATCAATCTCGAGGCATCAATGGTGGGTCTGCTCCTGCATTAGCGTTTGCTGCAACGTTTGATGAGAAACCTACTTCCGTCTCACCGGCAATCCCCGGAAGCTTTGCTCAGAACCCTGTAGAATCCGACACAAGTACTGAAACTACCTTCAAAGCAGTGGATCACCACCCTGGAATAACAAGCAAGCCGATGCCCTTTCCCTTGTCAATGCAGCCAAACTTCTTCACTCCTGTCAGGACTAGTGGTGCTGCCGCCGCAGTACCTCAAATTTCACCTAGATTGCCGTCTGATGCAGAGAACACATCTCGACATCAACCTGTGTTATGTCAGACAATATCACGTACCACTGATGGTGCTGCTACTCGGGAGAAGCTGAAAGAACAGGAGCTGACAATTGAAGGCGGTCGAATTAACATCTCAAGTGCCTACTCCCAAGGGTGAGTTTTCTTGTGCTCTAAGTTACATGTTCAATCGGTCTTTCCGTGTTTGTTTCGAGTTTATTGAGCTTACTTCGAAAACGTGCAAACCATAAACCTTGAAATCTCTACTTATTGAAGATGCGTATAGATATATGAGTGAATGACATAAGCAGATTTCGGCATTGGACAGGTTATTGAATACGCTGACACAAGCCCTGCAGAGTTCCGGCGTGGATTTGTCACTGGCCAGCATCTCCGTGCAAATCGAGCTAGGGAAGCGAGCAAATAGACGATCACCTATACCAAAATCTGCTATTAAGGTATGTCATGTTCGTGTAGCTGTCACAAAACGCATCGAATTTGAGTTCGTATTACAAACACAGCTAAACTTGTCTGTCGTTCTGCTGCAGGAAAATGAGATTCCCATAAGCACTTTAGGGAAAAAGCACTCTGTAATTGCAAGCAGCGAAGAACCTGAACGCGCCCAAAAGAAACTCAAGACATGCAGAAACTAATTAATTATTATTTTTTAAATATAATTAATTCATTTTTAAGAACCCCTTTGATGAAGTATGGGGTTTATAATTATTCATGTCTTCTGTTTGTGGCAGAAGACTTCACACTAAATCGAGCGCAACGATATTCTAGGATTCATACGGTCAATCCTACTTAGTGAGATAAGGTTTTATCGTTATTGTTTATGTCTTCTACTGGTGTATTTTAACCTACCCAATCGAGATAGAGATTAGTTGTGTACAATGTACATGTAGTTTCTCATTTCTTATAGTTTATTTAGTTAGTTGGGATCCAAATTCCACAGATTTCCTAACCGAAATATTATTTATTGTTTTTGGTGTCCAGAGACGAGATTTGAGTGTAAACAGAATCTCTTTATTGTCAAGGCTTCCATTATAATGCTGAGAAGCTGCTTTTGCTATTTTCAGTTGAGGCTGCTTTTTCTTCTTGTAATTTTTATTGCTTGTGGATTAAGTGCTAATGATTTTTTTTTTTTTATCTTACTCATTTCTTATCATAATTATTCCGCGCAGCCCTTAACGGGTGTGCATCATGTGCAGTTCTGAGTGGTGATCACTGATCTTGGGCTGGTCAAACAACAACTCATTATTGCACATGATGCAGTGGTTGTTCGCGAGAATGTATATTTTTCTCATCATGAAGGTGCTCACTTAATGTACCTTTCTCAAGAATTCGGATCCTCGCCAGATCCTCTTTGTGAAGATTTCAGAGATATATAAATCATATATGTTTATCATACGGTCAGTAATTATTTTTATTATTTTTATTTAAAATTAAATACAAATAGTACATGACAAAAATTGACTACACGATGTACGATGAACGGACACGATTTATGGATCCCTAAGATCATCACCAAAGGGATCCGAAGAGGATCCTGTTGGCTTTCTCAAGATTAATAGTCGTATTCTGCATTATATTTAGTTCGACACTCAATTATGCACCTAATGTGCACTTTTAGGGTTAATATAAGAGATTTTTACGATCGGTCGAGACTTCGACCTGCACCTGATGTCCGACATTAGGGATTTGCACAAGAGACTACATCACATGCATAAGGGTAGTGACTCCACGCCTCTTTCTTTCTTTTCTAGCTTTGAATTGAAAACTCAAAACAGAATCAAGAAATGCAAATAAGGTTGTGCAAGAAACAGAAAGAAAAAGAGTGCGAAAATCATTTTCCGTTGACTCTCTTTTCCTTCAAATGATTTGGGCCAACCCAATAAGAGGTATGCCAGCCTAGCCTACTACCTTAACATGGACCCAATCTTATAAATTGTTCATTGATACGGAACTATATAATTTATTAATTAACCTGTTCATGATTAAATATATTTTGATAATAGTATAATTTGAATATTACACCAAACTCAGTAACCAATAAGAGTGATTAAGTTATTAATTAGTAAATAAATGGTTGGATCAAGTTTTTAAAACATTGGATCGGGTGAATATTATCATAGGGATCGTCTTCTGAGGACTTTTTCTCACTTCAATTACCTAAGAGCATCGTAAACCCAGAAAACTTCCAACTTAGAATTTTATATACATTATATAATATACTCAACAATTTCATTTAAAACCATGACTAAAAAATATGCATATAATATCAACCTAACAGATGATATTTGAGTTTTATGACCATCACACTCGTGCAGTAAAAGATAATGATTCTTTTATTTATTGACTTCAAATACAAGTTAAGGTGTTTCTGCATTTCCTTTCATGCTCAAGGCGACGTACACCGAAAGAAACTTAAACTCTGCTTAATTAATCCTTAAGTACTACAAGTAGTGATTAGGGTTTTTTTTTTTTTTTTTTAAAGGGGACCAGTTGGTGGCTTCGCCACGGCAGTCCACTCTTTCAGAGGCTGACAAGATTCACATAGGCATTTCAACATTCTCTGGCCACTATCGTGCGATTTATCAGCAGCAAGAATCGAACTCAGAATGTAATGTGTGTAAGACAGGCCTAGAATTCCTCCCGAATTATAGAACCACCCGCTGTGGTTATTAGAGTTATTGAGCATCGACCAATAAGTTACCAGGCAGATTGCTCTTTGTTCACTGTGGATTTCTTGGATCATACAAATCTCAAAACGATTCTCAAAAAATATTATATAAATTTTTTATAAGAGAAAAAAAATAACACATAAAACTCTAGGCATGTCTTCTCGTTCATGATTGATTTATATATTGTATTGTAACCATATATACATACATACATATATATATATATATATGTGTTATCGAAACAAGACAAAGTAATAGTATTTAAAACAATGATGAAAATATTAAAAGACACTTTTATATTTAACAAGGTATCTTTTGTATTCTTTTTCCAATTAATTGAGATGATGAGATCATTTTTGGTTCTTGTGGTGGTGGTTATTTTTTGTCCTAGGGACCAAAAAAAAAAAAAAATTTAGCTCAATACTTTAGGGCTTGGAACGTTTTTTATAGTGATATATGTGAGTTTGATTTTTGTATATAAAGAATCAAGTTTTCTGGTTTTGATTTTTATATGATTTAGATTTAAAAGCTGACTTCTCTTATTGAATCCAAAATTTTCCGTCCGATATGCGAGTTGTGATACCAAATAACTTATATTCATAGATCACAAAAAAGAAAAAGAATTAATACACACAAGAAATTGTAATTTATTTGCAAAGAAAATGATCATGACATGGTAGAGTATTACCAAAGAAGATGTCAAATGTAAAACATGAAAACGATATTTGATGGCTTATGTGGCAATTTCACTTTTTGTACAATTTTTTGCTCCACCCGATATGTTAAATAAAAATATCGTTTTATAATTCAAATACTTAGAAAACACCACAACATTTATTGAGACAATAATTCAAATACTTGGAAAACACAACAACATTTATTTTAAAAAAAAATTCATTACGTCAATTGGCAACAACTGTCAAATTTGAACTCAGAAGGCTTTACCTCAATTAACTAAGCTTCACATAAGAAACTGAAGGCTTAGTTGACGAGAATTTTCTATCATTTTTTACTATTGTATATCAATGTGACAGTTTCGACACATCCTTTTGAGATGCTCTCAACAACCAACTCCTTAAACGAAAAAAAACACTCAACTCACCTGCATTCCATTCCCCAAAATATTGGTGCACAAAGCAATCCCGATCCCATGCTTGCCATATACACAAGGTTTCAATGCCAATGCCAGCTAAGGAAAATCAAAGGACCAAATGATTCCTTTCACTTCCCCTTCACATGAAAATCCAAATCTCCACCGACAAAAATATTCCCACAACTATATTTCCTTCCTTTTTTTTTTCTCAAATTTCCAAATCCATTTAAAAAAATAGCCCTTGCACCAACCTATTGTAAAATTGTGAGAATGAATGCTCACGGTAAGGAAAACTTGAAAATCGTGATGTATTTGTTGTTGTGTAATGTTTTCAAAAGTGGCAATCATTTCATTTGTTTGGTTTGTCACGGATGTTGCTCTATATAAAAAACACTCCATGTGTGATCACAATACACTGCAAAAGAAAAGAACCAAAAACAATAATATCAGTATCCCTCACTTCCTCTTTTTACTTGCCATCCTTTTGTGTTATAGTTATAAAACTAAACAGTGTGATATTTTACACCCGTTTCAAAGATTCTCTCTAACTTTTGCTTATTTATAACACAACCAATTTTTTGGGAACAAATTGTTAACAAAAATGGAAGCCGACGTACGGTTAGGGTAACATGTTTGACCTGTCATTGTCCTATGAGATTTACATGGAATTGGAACCTTGATCTCCAAGTAAACCAAACACTTATGGAACAATATAAATTAATGGCGTATTTGTGTAAAAATACACAATCGTCGGATCCCGGCCGGCCTGGCCGTTCTCTCTGAGTTGGACCGAGACCCGTGACCGGTGTTACAAAACGAGTGAAAGAGAGAATGATCTGTGCAAGCAGAAAACTTTGAGGATGTAGTATATAATATACTAACGGAATCACAATACCATAGGGTTTGATCTAGAAGAAACAAAAAAATTACAAAAAAAAGAAAAAAAAAAATGTAAGGAATAGGGTCACCTCTTGATGATGATTTTTCGCAGTTCCAGTAAAACCAAACCTATATATGATCTTCCCTCCCCACACAGAATGCAGTTTAATTTCGTTCCCACCCTGAATGGCAGGGTAGCTTCTATACATGATTTGGATGGATTATTTCGGCTTATACAGAAGATAAAAGATGTACTACAGCTCGTACCATACGCGCATCCTCTCGGGCTCTTCTTGAAGATTACTTCACTTGGACAATCTCCATCGCCTCCTTAGGACGAAACGCTTGTTATGGCTGTACCTCTGTAGACAATTTTTCTAATAGACCTGTGTGGGAAAGTAGCCAACACTGTAGAAAACTGGATGAGTGTCAGAAGTCGTCTAACATTATTTATCACGTACTACTTAGTTCATCGTCTGATGGTTGCAAGCACTCTTCCGGGTTGGCATAGAAATAGTCCTCTTCTTTAGGTCGGTCTTGAATCATCAACCTATTAGTTGGGTTCCCCATGCGATTTGCATGAGCTTCCTTTACTGCAGATGAAAATTCATCCCAATGCAATGACCCACTAGTGTACTGGTCTATCAGATCAACAAGAAGCTTTCTGTCCAGTAGAATCGTCTTCTTGAACCCAAGAAACCTGAAGAATCATGAACGTACAATGTTTAATTTAGATGACAACTTTCACCATTAATAAGAAATAAGGGCAGCCTATCATGTAACGGTTAAACTGAGGAAAATAGCATGAAGTTAATCATGTAGAAAATACATCCTTCATCACAAATATCAAGGATTCCAATATATGAACCTGTTGATGAACTAAAGCTCCAAAACTGGCAGTTGTTTCAAATTTTTGGGGTTTGAATTATAAAATCAACCAACCGAAGCCAAATGAATCCACAAGATGCATTGAAAATTTTCCATATAACTTTTTCTATGAACAAAGGAAAACTACCCTGTAAGCAGAAAGTACCTGCGATGGCCTTCAACAACTTTAGCCATGTTTCCATCATACGTGGGAACGAAAATATCACTCTCCAATGAGACAAGATAATCCAATGCCGCCATTTGGGATGAGTGGTTTTGAAAGAACCTAAGGTCTGATGGTTCCAACAGTGTCTCCTTTCTGACCTGTTTAAACAAAATCAAAGACAACTTGTAAGAACTGAAAACTTAAAAGTAACCAAATATAAAATACAGAAGGGGGCTTCAGATTTCTTGTACTTACCAATTTTGGAAAAGCCTTTCCAAGACTTGCCATTCTCCTCTCTGCACCATAGATTTCACCAGCTGCAATATAAATCTGAATATCACGGTCAATGTCAAGGGCGCTCAATGTAAGAGCAGTTTCTTCAGGTGTCA